TCATGCACTTCTGTGCATTGAGTTTCTTATCCATGATTCCCAGTATGTTATGTAAACCAAACTGCTCATTTACATACTGTGGAATATTTCTCCATCTTTGTATGCTTATATGTGACTCTCCAGTGAAACTTCTGATTACTTGTTTAAAAATGTTCTGTTACCTTCTGTTAAATAGCCAGAATGTTGGTGCACAATACCTCTAGCTGTTAAGACTGCACAGTATTTCAGCTTTACCTGCATATGTGTCTATCATCAGCTGTTACCAGATTATTTTTTTACCAGGTATGTAATCAATAGAGTATTTGGTTGCCCTTTAGGTGTCTTTTGTGACAGATTCTTCTCTTGCCCTCAATCTTTGTAAACATGGTGAGATATTTCAGCAGAAAGGGAAATATTTTTGTTCGTTACAGCATCAAGAATGAATGAATTGTCCTAAATTTGATAAATTGAGTTGTATGTTCAGTCATACTAAGGGGAGAAATGAGTGTTGAATCACTCTGATGAAACTGCATAGCTGTTTTGGTGAACCTTTCCTGAAGTGCCATGTTGAAAATTACGCGGTACAAGAAATCTGAATCACAAAACATGAGTGATGTTATTTTCATAAAGATTGATGTAAAATAAATAAATAGTTTACTTTGCATTACAGCTTGTTCTAGTTCTTCTTTCTTTCCTCTGACAGATGAAAATAATTGCAGGTGCCATTCGGAACAAATCCCAAGCAAGGCTTTTTGTCTGATAACGTGATTTCAGAGAATCTCTGTAGAGAAACAAGAAGATACTGCATGCAGGTGATGCTGACTGGGTGCATTTGTGATTGGTGCCCTTGGTTTCTGTGGGAAAGTGTTGGGGGGAGAGGGGAGATGAAATTTTCATGAGCGCTTACAGGGAACAGACTTTCTAAGAAATCTGAGTATTTGTATGCTATCTCCTGACACAGCCTCTTTAGCAGAATGTCAGTTCCTATCTTACTAAAGCTTTCAGTTGCTGAGTGTGTAATTTCAGCTGTCTTGAAAAATGGGAAATAAGACTTGGGATATTATTTTTAACTGCATGCTGAAAGAGATCTTCCATATTAGAAGTGAATAGTCCATGTAGTTCTCTATCTCTTCTACAGGCAAGTTACAAGTAGATATTGGCACAGCTGGAAATCTAAGGATTTCAAAGCAGGATAGAGTGGCAGCTGAGGCAGAACATGACTGGCCTAAGGACCTCTTGTCCTCTGTACTGAAGGTTTGAGTCTGAGGAATAAAGAAAAAATTCTGCATGGGGAACAAGATCTCACTTGGACACTTAATGCAACATACTCGTGTTAAATATGTTGTACAGGCAGCTGTTAAAGAACAGCTGAGGCTCCTGTTTCCTCCTTGGAGCTGAGTTAACACATTTGTTCTCGACAGAATTGCAACAAAGATGTGAGTCCAGATGATGGATGTAGCTGCTAAATGTTGCTAAATATCTTATTGCTAACGAATTCATTTAGAAAGGATAAACACAGTTGATCTACTCTGTGAGTCCATATATGCAGAATCTCACCCTCTGTTCTGAGCCCCTCAGAGGTGCAGAGAACATGCTGAAGTCTGCTGGTGCTGTATTACAGTCTATCAGGTGTTCATGCTGGGGGAGTTCCAGGAGTGCTAAACATAGCTTCCTTATCTTCAGCTCCTTGACCTCACTGGAAGCAGAATCCAAGTAGCACTGATGCTTGAAGATTTCCCACACATGAAGGCCACGAAATATCTTCATTCAGATAATGAAAAGGAAGGGTGTGCTCTGCCTTGGAAGCTTTCCCCCTGCAAAAGAAGGCAAAAGGTTCAGTCGCAAAGAAGTTAATAGAGTGGTGTTTTCTGTTGTGATATAATGCTGTAGAAGCCATACTCCTTTCCAATTATGAATTTTTAACTGATGGCCAACTCTGCTCTGTCAACATGACTAGGTTTTCAAAGAAAGGATTAGACTAGAGAGCAAAACTCAGCACTAAATGATAACCATGAAATTTAAAAAAAAAAAAAAAGATAAAAAACAGCAACCACCAGCTATTTAATAAGAAGACTGGCTGTTCTTTACCCTACATGATTCTCGGGTTTTACAGAGAAGTGAATAGGTAATTTAAACGTTGAGTACTACAATACAGATGGGAAAATCCGGGGACTTTGGCCTTAATTCAGATGCCCAGTCTTGAACGACTGCATCCTGCCAGTGTGTTTCAAGCAGGGAGTACTTTATGTAAGTATAAAGCAGTTTCATGTTTTTTTCAGTGAGTTGCAACTAAGACTTCCTGTTTGAGCTGATAAACTGACTCAGTGATGTCTTCAGGTGCCATGATTTGTGTTTAAATTGTGAAGTAGGCTATTGAGCTGTGTTTATAAATGTAGGTGGTGGTTTTTGGTATTTACACGTGAAAATTCCCCTCGGAAACTTAAGGTATGAGCTTCCTTCTCTATCGCTTGTGGAAGAGGACTGGTGAGCAGACACTGCACCATTTGTCTGCAGTGTTCAGTGACTTACCGGGTTGCTTGCGTTGCCTGCTTTGAAAGCTACAGCTTTCAATTTTCCTTCTTACTCTTTTGCCTTGATTGCCAGAAACATTGCAAAGAAATCCGAGTTAAAATATTCTAAAGGTGTCTGAACAACTTCTAAGAGCAGTTTCTTATTTGTACAGAACCTGTGTTTTTGGCATGTAAACCCCACGGATGTAGTATTGTGAAGGAGATTCAGTATGCCTTTGTGTTTTTGGAGACTTCGTAGGGCTAATGAGTAGAAACTAAATTGAAATGAGGATTATTCAGGGTGTAGAGACTTGAAAAGTGCCTTTCACCTGTCAGAATGATTTGTGTCCTTTCTTGTGTGCCCCTTTCTCTGAGAATTTTGTAGAAGTATTGATGTAACTTTAATGTAATCATATCACATTGTGGAACTAAAGATGAGGAATTAAGGTTATTCTATTTCTGTTTATGAATTCTACTGGTGGCCTTTGAAATCTCTACCATTTCCTATCCTCCACCCTCTCAGTTATCAGATACAGCCACTAATTTTTTGAGTTGGGAGAGCTGGGTGGAACTGCTGGGCAGGAGCACAGTTGAGTCCGGTTTGCTTCAAGCAGATCTGAAGCAGAGTTTCTTTTTCTCTCTGATGATTAAAAGCATTGCCTTTAGGCTCTTGCCTAGTATAAAATTATTTTGAAATACGTTTTAGTAGTTTGTTATAATGGAAACAGCCTGCTTGCTTCTGCATAATTTCCTATTGCTTTATTTTATCTTTACTGCATGCAAAATTGAAAGTGAAGGCAGCATAGCATTTATATTCACTTAAGTTGTGAACAATGCCACATCAGTCTTCATTAACAAATGTTGGATATTAACCTGCCCAAGAGAAACTTAAGGAAACCGTACAGTATTTATCACAGTTACTGCCTGCCACATAGGGGAAAAAATCTAGTTTTACTGGTCTGGGGAACGTCTTTAGGAGTAAACAAATGAAGGATGTAATTCTTGTTAGTCCACATTTGGTCCAGGTCAACTTGGGAAAAGTACAGCACATTTTTTTGCAGTAGTGCTCACTCATCTGTTTTGAGATCCACAGTGAGGACTGAGACCCATGCTGTCCCTTGAAATAACAGGAGATTGCACTGGGCATTGTTGAGTTGCAGGCCACATGGTAAATAATGTAAGCTTCTATGTAGGCTGCTCTGAAAGTAATGCCTTCTATTTTTTTTCCATGGAAACTACAACAGATACCATGAGCACAACAGCACTGTTTGCTAGAACTAATTCTCACACGACGCTGTTTTTCAGCAGCATTGCCACCCTTAGCTGTGCATTTTTGCCAGCGATGAGCAAGACCCTGCATGCCATGCTTGTAAAAATAGATAAATGAATGAATTTCATGGTGTGACAGCTGTGTATGGCCTTCCTGAACACGGCTTGTTTGCACGTGGCTGCTGCAATGCACCACCCCCAGCTCCCTGCGCACACATCCACTCTGCTCTCCATAAGCAGTCGGGCAGTGGCAGTGAATATCAGTGGTGCCGCTTTTTTTCTGTGAGGAGGAATTCCATGACACGCCTTTTCTTCAGCCGCACTTCCGCATCGCACGCCTTCTGTCTGCGTGCCCTTCTGCCCCTGTCTGCCTCAGTGCAACAGCGCGGGGTGGAATGTCGGTGGGAAGGTGCAGCCTGTACTGCCGTACCGTCAATATTTGCCTCCGTACAAAACGGGAGGCATTATTTTCAGAGTAGCCCCTGTATTTGGGCTTGCACAGCCTATAGAACGAAGCTCGTATGAATGAACTGTGTCTCTAATGGATTCACCACCTCAGCCTTCTTTCCTTCAAATCGGTTTATTTTGCATTGCTTTCTCGTATCCCGAACCTACTAAAGCAGAAGAGCCCAAGCAGTCTGTATGAGATGGAACACGGCAGCCGGCCACCATCAGTTCTTCCCTCTCCCTGTGCCGGTGGAGGTGGGAGCGGCTCTCGCTGCCCACCAGGGGGCGCCACGACACCCTGCGGCAGCGCGCTGCCCGCGCCCCTCCCCTCCCGCCCCGTCCCGCACGCCCAGGGGCGAGGCCCCGCGGCTGCTCCCGGTGAGCGGCGCCGCCCCTCAGCCCCCGCCTCAGCCCCGCGGACCTGCGCGCGCGGTGGCGGCCGAGGATCCCCGGCGGTAAGTGGGCGCTGCGCTCCGGAGCCCCGCGGGTCTCCCCGTCCCTCCCCCTGCGATGTTCCCGCTCTGCTGTTCGGGGTGCCACGCTGGGGAGCTCGGCTTTAACCCTCCCTTAGGGAATGTGGGGTGGATCCGGTAGTTTGCCAACTTTTCTGTGCCCTTCATCTTTGCGTGCAGAAGAACGGCCCGTCCGGACCGCGCTTCGGGGCAGCGACGTAACTTGTGTGAAGCCGTTAATCCTTCGGGCGCCCGAGGGGCGGGCGCGGCGGGCTTCCCCCGTCCGGCTGTGGCACCGAGCTCAGCGCTCGGGCACGCGGGGATCGCTTGGACGCGGTGCTGCCCGCGCCTGCAGGTCTGACAGGAGAACAGCAGGCGCGAGGCAGGGGTTGTGGTATCGAGCGCTGTTCCTTTGCTGCTCTCTGAGTTCTTTCAGCTGAAGGATGAGAAAAATGAAGAAAACTCTGTGGGGATGAGAAGGGTGAAAGAGGAAAAGCCATCAGTGCTGATCAGTATCTGCTTAGTTTTAGCATAAAGCACCGCGTCAGTTCATTCTATTAATTCAGTCGCTGGTTTGGGCAGTTCTGAAGCGCTGCGGTCTCTTCATAGTACTGAGAGTGTAAGGGAAGTTGTCTCGCTGTGCTCAGCTCTGATGCCTGCTTTGGGTTTTGCTTCGCTGTAACTGTTTTGCAGCATAAACTGTGCCTCAGGGGATGCGTGGAGTCTGGCCAATGATCTGTGGTTCAACTCTTCCCTCGTGGAGAACTGCTCGGCCAGGGGGCTGGAGGAGGCTGCTTAGGAGAAAGGTGCAGAGCTGTTGATGCCAAATCCTCTCTTATTCTATGATGGGCGGACGTTTATCACACAGTCACTGTGTACAAACCAGTCATCCGTTGTCAAACTGTTGATGGCAGGCTTCATAATTTACCTACAGAAGGAAACCTTTATCCCGCTCCCCTTGAGGTGTATTTGCTGCTTTCTTCATTTCCTTTCCCCGCAGGGAACTGCAGTGGGGCAGGAACACCTACATATGGGACGTGTAGTGGTAGAAAAGAACGTATTTCAATCCATGCTTTGGTCCTTTGGTAAACCACGATTTCCTGGGGCAAATGAGCTCTGATATTATGGTATGAGGGAACTTAGGAGCATGAAGTGAACTGGCAGTAAATGTTCCTAGTGCAGAAACTGGAACGCTGGGAGCTCTGTGTTCTGTTTCTGGTTGCACGGCTGTAGGAAATTGTGTGGTATTATTAATGCTTTGCCACCTCTTCATGTTTGGGATGTGTACAAGGTGAAACTGTGCTCCAAAGAATCATTGTGGAAACGCAGCAAGTAATAGGAATGCCCAGTAGATGCTTTTGTATTGAAGTGCTCAGCACTAGAGCCACAAGAAAGGAGCCGTGCCCCAGCATGGGATGGCTGGGGAGACGTGGTGTATTCTGTGAAAGTGCAGACCTGTGTGTACATCCCCTGCTCTGGTCACAGGTCAAGCCTCCCGAGGAAACCACTGTGTAAGTAAAGAAGTTTGGGCCCTCCTTCCTCCTTTGCTCCATGTTTGCAATGGAGTCCAGCAAAAGCTTTGTAGTTTAAGCCTTGAAATGTGACACTGTCTTGGTTTCCTAAGGTCAGTGTGCAACACCTGGGAAGGATTGTGTTTATGACTGTGTAGGGAATTTTTATTTTGGTTGAAATTTAAGTGCATAAAGGTGATCTTTCATTATCTTACCCTCCTTGTGCAGTGTACAATTGTCTCAGGTCATCTAGCGTACAGTCTATTTTGGATGCCTGCTAACTGCAGCTGCTGGGTGACAGCCAGGGGGAGAAACCCACAGAAGAGAGGACGGTGGAAGGCAGTAAGTCTGTCTCCTAGGACAATGGCTGTGGTTGGTTTTTAGATTTTTTTTTAATAGGTGTGTTTGAATTAATGTCGTTTAGCCACGTACCTTGAATTCTAATGAAGGGAGTAGGCCATCTGAGTAAATCCCTTTGGGCGAGTCTTAGTACTATCTCTTAATATGTGAGTATTTTCCTCTGCTAGACTTTCTCGTGGGTTCAGAACTTGATCTTGCAAATCAGGATGAGCAAAAGGTTTAGGGTTTTTGGCACAGCTTGGCTTTGTCCTTTGTTTGCTTTTTTTGAAGTCTGAGTGTTAAGTTTGCTCCAACACTTCAAAAAATGCTGCTCTGAACAACTGCGAACAAGATTATATAAACTTCAGATGGAACCAGTAACTTACAGGTATCCCAATTATGATAAATGCCACTGTAGCATTGATTTACTGTGGTTTCAAGTCTTAAGCACAACTGGTCAACGGGCTTACTTTGAAATTATGAAGGATTGCTTCAGAAATACTGCAGTTTTAATTTACAAAGCAGAATTTGAATTATTTATTTAGACAAAGAGGAAAGAGGCATTTTTATCCCAGGCTTTGGGAAGAGGAAGGGAAATAATGAGCAAAGCAGCAGCATGTTTTATTTGTTTTCATCTTGCAACACTCTGAAAATAGAGCAAAAGTATGGATTGCCTAAAAGATGTCTCAGAAAATGTGGGGATCAAAAGTGGAAGTGAGAAACATCCCTGAAATGTGACTGGTCCAGGCTCACCAGTGGAAGTGTGGGTTTGCACAGAACTGTGCTGTGGTTATGCTGGCCTTTACTGTCACAGCTTGTGCAGTTTCTACCATTTGCCTTAGGTAACTGAATGAGAGAGAGCATAATTAGAGCAAAGTTAAAGGAAGATTTTGAAGCAGTGGTTTGGAGAGATTTGTTAAGGAGAAAGCAATAGGCCTCACGGTCTGCAGCTGAGCCATCACATGTGTGGTGGAGACTTCCAGCAAGGCTGCTGCTGAGGGCATGGAAGGTATTGCTAGGAGCACTCTGTGCCTCCCCTTTATGAGGTTACTGCATGTATCCTTCATGCAGTGAAAATGGTAACTTCTTCCAAAGCATGGCCAAAGTGGATGTGTGCTGGTCCAGTGTCAGATGAATGTCAGTCATGTCACATCACGTGCACTGTCCCACGATGTGTGCAGGCATGCACCCTTCACAAGGAGAGCTGAAGTACTTGCCGTTGTCTGATAAGAGTGATGCTGTGGTCCCTTTGGGGAAAGGAGTGGCTCTCGCTGGAATACTGCACGTGCCCTGGGTCTTCCTCCCTGCTGTGGGGAAAAAGCATTGATAAGGGCAGGCTACAGGCTGGGTATGGGCTGTCAGGAGCTCCCCATGAATATGGGGATGAATGGGTTGTGTACTAGAAAGGGGTGAATAGAAATGAACGCTCATCGAGCTCCCCCTGTGGAAATGTCAATCCAGAAGGACACACGGACATGCCCAGCGTATGGGAGCCAATAAGAAGCTGCACAAAATGGTGCTGGAGGATGGAGGCAGGTAACTGCTTTTTGGCTTGTGTGCTGTGATGGTGCTGTGTGCTGACAGAGGGAGTGTCGTTCTTCTTGGTACTCCTTATTGATTTGTAAAAGCTTGAATGTTGCTCCCAACATAGATAATGGTTGATGCAGTTGCCCTTTCAGTTGAGATGAAGAAATCAAAACATTTTTGTCCTACTGTGTAGGTTTTGCCAACACCAGCCAAAAAAAGTACGTGGAAGAGCAGGGAGAGACTATCTCTCTCTTTGAAGGAATGCTTTTGGAAATGAATTTGATTGATGCTCTACCACCCTCCTATTTCTTAGAAGCCAACAGCTTAAAAGGGAGAGAGAGAAAAAAAGTAGCAGATCTGTTTAGGGAGGTGAGTGCATGACAAAAGCTGGGTTTGTTTTGACAAGTCTGTTTGATTTTTACAACACATTTGCTGCTTGTAATGTACGCTTACAGAGATGGGGAAAAAATCTTTTTTTTTTAAAAGTGAATATGGCAGAAGCCCTGCAATTGCTGTTTGATACTTTGTCCTATTTTATAGGAAGGCCGTTGGTCTGTCCAAATTGCTGGAGCTTCTTGCAACGTTGGATGATGTCTGTTTCTAGATCAAAATAGAGTTCTGGAACCTGGAAGTCCCTGATGCATCTGCAGTGAGCAGCATCTGGGGTTCATAGGGAAATAAGCATCAACTGAGGGATATGAGTGTGGTGCTGAAGTCCAGAGTTACAACAGCTCTATTGCGAAGTGCAGTTGGATTTGTTATGATTTCAGAGGTCTGACCACTACCTTGCACATTCTGATTGAAATAGTGCTGTTTGTAACATCAGGGGTAATGTGAGTATTTAACTACACAGGACGCATCAACATGTTGTGAGGTGTTTGCTTGGTTACTGTGTTACAAAGTCATGTGAACCTGTATGGCTGCATGTGTATATGTGATGAGTAATGTCTCTGATCTCCTTTTCCAAAAGCAGCAGTTGTGGACCACCCAGAAAGGTGAGGGGACAAGCAAGGTTAAAGCAAAGAAATGACAAAAGGAGCACACATGGGAACAGGTGGAAAACTGAGCTGATCAGCATTGCTATGGGCTGGGGCACACCTAGGCAGCACTTTAGAAACCCAATGCTTTTTCTGTGATCCATTCTTATGTGTCAGGCCTGCTGATTTTTTTCTGCCATCGTGGCAGTTTGTGAATATCATTTGCTGGACTTTGCTCTGTGATCTTCATTGAATGCCTCTTCATTTCTGTTTAGTCTTCTATCAGCAGTCTAAACTTGGGGCAGACTTTGGTTAATCCTTAGAGTTCCTGATATCATTAGCCTAGTGGTATACAAGTATCTGAGTAGCATAGTAAAGTGAGGTTAAACATGTCACAGTGAATTCTTTCTCAGTCTTACTCTGTCCCCATAACTTTAGAGCATCATTTTGGGAGCCAGAACTGATCCTTGCTGTCAGAACACCTCCAGGATTTCAGTCCAGTGACTCTGGTAGAAGTAGCAAGTCTTTCCCCCTTTTCCCAGCAGCCTCATTCTCTGGTTAGCAAATTTTGTGTCATGTATTCCCAACAGAGGTCCTCAACTGCACCAGTGAGGCTTGGTCACAGAGAACAATTACGTTCAGGAAACTGAACATAAATTTGCACTGTTACACAGAGAAACACATGCAATAAATGGTGCAGCTCTTGTTCTTACTCAAAACATCTGGTGTGCGATGAGAGACACTGCACTGAACATTCTGTAGGCAGAACCATAGTGCCTTTTTGTAGCAGTTGTTCAGACTTCTGTTCGCTGCCCTGCCGGTGTGCTCCAGCACCACAGCCTCAGGTGAGAAGAAGGAAGCGCTGTTATGTGGTCATCTTGGTTTGTGGTCCGCCTGCTGACGCTTGCAATGAAGAAGCCTGCCATGCTGATATTCACACTAGCTCTCTCTTGCATAGTGTGAAGATGCACGATACTCACAAGTTTGACTGTTGGTTGGATGTGTCTGTGCTCGGTTATTTCAGTGAGGGGCGCTTTGCTTAGCGCTGCTCACCAGCTGATACAATTGGGCCTTCATTGTTCAGCTGAGGCTAATAAATAAAATCCTTCAACCTGTCCATGGTGAGTCCAGCCACGATAAGTTGCAGTGGGTCCCAAGTGTCTGTATCAGAAATGTGTTTTATCTGTTCTTTGCTTGTTGAAAGGTCATGATGAATGTAATACTTTCTTAACATTCTAGTTGCATCATCTCTGCATCAATGAAGAGTCCAAGTATGGCTTTGTTCAAGCAACAGAGGGTGGAGGACGTTTACGAGATTGGGGAAGAACTAGGAAGGTAAGTCTGTGCAGACATGGTTGTAAAAGCTGACACACAGGGATATTGGCAGCATTTTAAAATAGTGACTCAATCAATGCACTGCATGATAGTTTATATCAATTTACAACAGGAACACATTCCTCTGGAGGAATTTCACTTGGGCATTTATTGTTTTGTTTTGTTAAATGTGCTAACTTGCTAACTATTTTTCCTGTTTCCTTCCTTGCAACTAGGACAACAGAAGGTATGTTTGCATTTGTCTTTTGTGCATAGGTGTCATCTGTGTGTGTGCTTTAAACTGGGTTACCTGTCTGCTCTGTGAACGAGCCAGGAAACAGGAAGCCACACCACCATAGTCACAGATGCAGCTCTTTAGTTTGGCTTGTTGTGTTTTAACAGTGCTGTACAGTCTCTGGTGGGCTCAGAGCACTGACAGGTTGTCCTGCAAAACACTGTGTATGTATTCCTGAAAAGATTCACCAATGAACATCTCAGCAGGACTGGTTAAGGCCTTTATACAGCTTTTAATCTATAAAGAGTTATCTACAGATATTAATTATAGGTGCAGTTAATAGGCTGTTGCCATGCTTAACCATGATCACCTGCTTAAACACAGTAGTGGGTTTGCGGGCTGGATGACTTGGGGCTTCACAGTCACTTACAAGCACACAGGGCTCTGAGTGGCTCCCATTCAGTGTTGAACCCTCCAGTGACTTTCATATGCAAACTGCTAAATGAGGGCTCTGTTTGTTGGCTTCTTTCCCAACATCTGGCAGTTGGATTTGATAAATGACTGTATGTGCAACTACTCCTTTTCAAGGGCCGATAATTTAGTTACATTAAAACACTTCAGTTCAGGTTATTTCCCCACCAAATCTTTTTGTGGGGGATGTTTATTTTTTTCCATTCTATTCCATCCCAGGAAGACCTCAGCCTTTACATTTTCCATAGCTGCTTACTTTCACGTACTGACTAATTCTGAGAATATTAGCCTGAAAGTGAAAATTTGGCAGAAGTGAGCAATCACAAAATGCAGTTCATATATGCAGTGTGTATAGAGTGTGCTTTTTTAATCTAGGAGGTGCTATTATGTGCTGTAACAACCAAGTCAGTGAAGATAGAAAGTGGAAGCTAAAGAGTGTATTTTTATTTTGGTTTCTGAATTGGCTTTGGAAATCCAGTGCCTTTTGAGATGAGCCTTGCTCCCCTCTTTGAGGTGATGACTGTAATGCTTCTTGTAGATGAGAAATCCAAGTCGGCTTGTTACTGAGGTTGGAAGGAAAAAACATTCCCTAAAGGAAAAGGACAAACTGTGACACCTCTCCTTGTTATATAATGTCACGTAGGCTCTGCTGGCTTTATTTTCACTTTCAGATTTTGTGAACAGCTCTACAGACCTCTTGTTTCAGCTGTGTTACATGTGTAGTGTTACCAGGTTGTCGCCTGTCTCTGAGCACTAACTACTGATTAGGGCCAATGACAAGTGATACCTTGTTTCGTTGGAAGTGAAATAATAGACTAGACAAGTTGTGATGGCTGTTCCACAGGAGCTTTTTCCAGTGATGACTGATGCCTTGGAGCCTGTAGGTGCCTCTTTTTATTACTCCAGTACAATTGCAACAAGCTGTTGGTGCTGACAGGTGCGGGAGTGTAAAAGGATTTGGTTTTTGTGATTCTGGCTACAAAAGTCACTTGCAAAGCAAAGGATTTTAAACCAAGTCTGTGAAATGTCTGTCCTTTCGTGTCTTCCTAACTTAGTTTCTGATTTCCTGAGCACAGAACTTGTCATTAATACAGTTTCCAGGTTGGGTTCAATCAGAAGTTAAAAACCAGCACCTCATCAGCAGAGCCAGACACTGTACTGAAAGCCTTTGCACAGCAGTTAGGAAAGGGGGCTCCCGCTATGTAGCGTCAATGCTCTTTTGCAGGACTCAAGTGTGCTTGGTCTGGAGATGTAGTTGGACCTTTTCTGGCATGGTGTAGTATTCAAGGTACCTGCAGCAAAGGCTGTTTGGATCCAGCTGTGCAGCACCCTGCAAACAGCACATTTGCAGAGTCTTCAACCAGGACATTTTCAGGATGGTGCTGAGCTAGAGGCAGTTCAAAGGATGCTGAAAATGTTGTTTGTTGCGCCAGGGCACAGTGTGAGGGAAAAGTCAGCAGAAGCAGAGAGCAGGCTTTCCATAGCTGCAGCTGTGTGCTGTAACCAGCTGCCTAACTCCAGTGCTTTCGCAGTCTTTCAAATATTGATTTTAGGCTTATGGTTCTGTTGCCTAATTTCTCTGAAGTGAGGTACACAGGGAACCAGGAATCAGGCATGTGGCATTAGACAAGTTGCTAATGGGCTTTTGTAGCTCTAGCAGTGACGCTGGGGAAGTTTAGTGTGGCTTATACTGAAGGAGGACAATACCTTATTGTCATACAATAGTACATCAGAGGAGTGTTTAAAAAGTCCTCAGTTAGACCAGCTGGTCTGGAAGCTTAGGAGAGTTAGAATGCAGGTATAAAGCTCTCAGATTCTCCTCTTTTTTCCTTCTTCCAAAGGCAGCAGGCTTTGCAGTTTAGGGGTACATTATACAGAACTCTCCGGCATTTAATGCTGTCGCTCTTTGAAAGCATTAAACCATGATTTCTGGCAAATTCAGTTTCTTTCTGTGTCTGAGTTAATAAAAAATGGATAGGTTGAAAATTATTTTGCACAGAATGTTCTCAAAATTCATCCCTCCCCAGATGTGATTCTGTGTTGCTAAATGTCCCTTTTATTCAAGTAACGGGAAACGATGCCTTTCACCATTCATTTTAATAAACTTCTCTGTCAGAAACCTATTAATGCTGTTATGAATGTTGTGATGGGATCCTGGCATAAGCTGTTTGCAGGAATGTTGGTAACAGATGACTCTAACTGCATATCTAAATGATGGAAACGTTTCTTGAAAAATGTGCAAAAGTGAAGATGAGCTTAACTTCCTTGGTAGCATGCAGCAAGCCAAGTGATTCTTGGCTCTTCAGGCAAGGAAACAGGCAGGGAAAGGAGATCAAGAGTGGAAATTCTTCAATCGAAGCCAAAGTGGGTCAAGAGGAAGGAAGAACCGGGCTGCCCGTCTCATAGTCTGATTCCCAGGGGAGTGGCAGCAGCAGAGCTGAGCAGTGGCCCTTCTAACACAAAGTGTCTTAGCACCTGTTGTGATTTGGATAGGTTGCTCTGTCTAGCTGCGCAGCGTAATTCATAAAAGGCTGTACCATAGAGTCATCAATCTCAATGTGTCATCAGCTAGCCTGCAGAGGACTGCTGACATTTGTGCCTTGTGGGCAGCGTCATTGCTACACGTCTGGGCTGAAGCGTGATGGGGGTGTGCAGTGCCTTTCATGGCAGTGCCACTGGGAATTGTGTTCCTGCAGGGCGGTGCAGGGCTGGCACTGCTGTGCCCTGAGAGCGTCCTGCTCACCACAGCTCAGCTCTCTGTAGCCTACAAGTGTTAGATCACCTTTAACAGAGAAACTCAACTGATCACAGGGTGAGGAAATCTCCTTTTCTTTATTATTGGCCTTTGGGTGTAGGGAAGGGACTCTGCTTGTTTCTTGCTTGTCTCCGTCACTGGGAACTACATTCACCTGTTCTCTCTCCTCTCCTCAGCTTTTGTTTGGCTTTGCCATGTTTTATGTACAGATGGGAGACCTATGGATGGAAGATGCGTGGTCTGATGTGCCAATCTTTATAGCAAGTCAAAACCGAGTCTTTGGATAAGCATGAGAAAGGGGAAATGCATGTTGTTCACTTGGCGGTTTGGAATCCTCTCTGCTGGCAAATATACTTGGTTTGCTGCAATTGTAGTATGCTGGCCTAACAAAGAAGGTGGCTGAGCATCTCTTCAAGATTGTAAGAGGTTTTCTTCTGACAAGAGAAAGAAGCAGGGCTCTCTGGAGTTGTGGAAGCTGAAGTGCTAGGGTGGCAGTTTTTTGTGATGCTCTCTGCATGAAGAGGCTGTAGACTACCAAGTTAATGCCTGGTTGGTGCCAGAAGTGAGCTAACTAGGAGTGGATCTAGGCTTTACCTGTGGGAAATGATTTTACAGCAAATCGGTGATGTTCTTCTGCACGTTGGGGTGATTTGCATTTCACCTTGAGGAGTTTCCTGCTGTAGATTTTTAAATATCAATTCCTACTCGTTTCTTTTTTGTTTGCTTAAATCGTAAAAATTCTTCCTCATATTTCTGATTAGATATGTTATTGCAAACATAGTATTATTCCTTCTGTGTATCTCTAACTAATAAAGATTTTCTGTTCGCTGGGATGAGTGAAAAAGCCCATCTTGTCATTTGGAGAAAATGGCACACTTGTTTTTGGAGAGTGATGAATGGCAAATCAAAGAAGTGTAGGCAGAAGAGTACCTTTCAGTGTTGGCAGTACTTTGTTGATAACTTGAACTGTTTTTGTCCTGTCTCCTACTCTCTCAAATTCAATTGCTAACGAAACTTCATTGTCTGGTAGCTCTGTTTCAAAATTATAGGTAAGCTGAATATTTATTGTTTGATCTTCTGCATTTTATTCCCTGCAGAAGTGTTGAAGTAAAACTGCTTAGTGTCCATCTCTCCTATTGCTTTTTGTGCTGGATCTAAGCTCTCAGGGACATGGGTTGTCTCTGAATATGTGTCTTTTCAGCACTGTGGTTCCTGGGTCATTGGAATCAGAGGTTACTATAAGAAAAGCTATTCATAATATAGAAGAAAGCCAACATTTCTGTGGCTATTTCTGTAGTGTTGCTTGAATTTATAAGAGTCTGGTGAGCAGTAGGAAAGAAGCAATTGCACTTCCAATCACAGATGTGTTAAACGAAGGAGAAATCTGGGAGCTAGTAGTTACTCCACTCAATTTTCCCTCCTCCCCTCGAGTGATCCAGTTGGGTTTTACAGCCGCTTTGGATTTAGGGAGCAATAAGTCTTCATTGTAAGGGTTTGGCAGGGCCACAGAGTTGGAATTCGTGGATCAACTGTAGAAATAGATTTTTGTCACATGGATCA